TAGCATAACAGAATCAAATGGACTTCATTTAAAACTGATGATGCTCCAACGGTGCCGCTCTCTCACAGCAGCTCTTTAAGTCACATTTGCCTCGATGTGGAAGTGCAAAATGATGTAAAGATCAAAGTTATGGAGTCGGACAGATGCAGTGATTTGCACGGGTCTGGAATCTTTTCTATTTTCACCCAAAACAGCTTGATTTACTAGTAATTTACCGATGTAGTCGTCTGATCTTGTTCTGCAGGCTTTAAGAGAGAGTTTCAACTTTGATCTTTGGTTATTTTACGCCGTTATTTCGAGATTTTCCTTCCTTTTTTTGTAACGCAGCACTGGACCAAACTTCAAGAATCCAAACTTGAATTAATTATGCTTTTTTTTTTTTTTTTAAGAAGCATACCAACTTTTCTGAATCACTACTGTGGTAGACAATTTAACCTTTGTGATACATGTTTTAAGAAGCGTACCAAATTTTCTGAATTACTACAGTTTAACGTTTGTGATACATTGACCTGTGAGATCCGTTGAAGCTCCTGGACTTCTATTAATATTTCTTTTTTTTTTTCTCCTGAAATGATTTAATCATTACAAAAAGCTGTGTTTTTCAAGGTTACTCCAGGTTTGGAACTACCTGTACTGAATGTCCAGGCTGTTGTAACTGCATGACCTTGACAAATGCTTGCACAGTGGTTTGTCTTTGTTTAGTTAATACCTAATGATTAGATGAGGGGATTCTGGGCACCAAATGACTGCAGAGATTTCAGCAAGTCGGCTCTTCTGAATCTGCACGATACAGGTCTACCAACCAGAAAGCAAGAAGGTAGGTTTTATTTTTGGATGCAAATCCTAAAGAAAAAAAAACCATCTGTACTTACTTGTAGTTTCTCTGTTTTCAGTCATGAAGTTCTGGAATCCTGTGTTTTTTCTCTGGTTGGCGTATTGCTGCCAGGGTTCTCTGTCCTGCCCTGCTCTTTGTAAATGCTACACCAGAAGAGCTGAAGTGGTCTGCAATGAGGTTCCTCTCACAGAGTACCCCTCTGAGGACCTGCCCCCCAACACCACCATGGTCACTATCCAGGCCACAAACATCACCACCATCTCTGAGAGACACCTGAACGCTACACCCCTGCTACAAGAGCTCCACCTGAACAGCAACCACCTCCAACACCTGCCTGCTAATGTTCTCAGAGGTGTTCCTCAGCTCCACACTTTGGACCTAACAGAAAACAGGATCTCTGAGCTCCCTTCAGACGTCTTCAGCCACGCACCTCTGCGTAACCTGGTGCTTAAGAATAATCAGATTGAAAAAGTGAACGCTGACTGGATTCCTGAGAACAGCAGTGTGACTTGGCTGGACTTATCTGAGAATCGCCTCCAGAAGGTCCCAGCTGCTCTGCTGCAGAAGATGCCCCACCTGGAGACCCTTGATCTTTCTGACAACCGTCTTGAGTATATGTCTGCAAAATCCTTGGAGCGGTTGACCAAACTTGAGAGCCTAAAACTGCAGGACAACAAGCTGGAAACTCTGGAGGAGTCCACTTTCAAAAACAATCGCAACCTCACTTTTCTGTTCCTCTCCCGTAACAAGTTTAACAAAATCCCCTCGAACCTTTTCCAGGGCCTGACTGAGCTCAAAGCCCTGGCCCTGGACCAAAACAATCTAAGCCACATCCCACCAGGGTCTCTGGACCAGCTGAGCACCTTGGACAAGGACGGTCTAGACCTGACCTCCAACCCCTGGCAGTGTGACGGGAAGGTGGAGTACCTGTGGAGGTGGATCCAGAAGAACAAGGAGAAGATGTTCCTGCCGGAGATACTCGTGTGTGCCCAACCTCCGGCCTTATCAGGACGCTCTGTGATGTCACTGACTCAGAGTGAACTCAGTCTTCAGACCTAACAAAGTTATAATTCAATAACACGTTTGTAAACGTTCACCAACTGAAAACAGATGCAGGAAAATCCCTATCCTGGAATATTCCCTGAAAAAATAAATAAAGCAAGTATCGATTTGTTTGTGTGTGTGTGGTAACATGTGTGCACCCGGTGCTGTTTGCTTCTTGCAACATTTTTGTCCTGACTCAGTGGAGAAGAGAACAAATATATTTGACACAGTTTCTACGACGAACTGTAGATTTTACAACACGTAAGAAACTCGACGTTCTGAGTCAGGTAAGAACATATTGATGTGATGTGATTATTATGTTATTATAACATACAATTTCATATATGACACTGGAGTGAGATGGTGCTTTATTACTACTGAGTATATTTTAATATCAGCCGATGGCATCGTATCACATGTTTGATACATGACATATGGATTGATATGATCCTGTAGCATGTAACATGATAGCCTCCCATAACATTGTATACAATGACGTACACTATGATGGAATTGTCCGTACTGTACATACACCAGTACTTGATACTTAATTCAAATACTTCTGGCCTTAACTTTGAGGTCAACTCTGGGCCACGTTCTTTGTAGCGTTACAGTGAGGCAACACTTTCACACTTTTGCATACATCAACTGTGTTGATCAATGCAGATGTTCCATGAAAAAAGTTGATCAACATTGGTTTATCAGTATCAGTATAAAAGTTGGACTAATTGACTTGTGGGGTTCTGACTTAGATTTCTGTAGAGATTAGGACAAAAACTAGAAACCCTGGGGACTTGAACTTGTCTCTCATTTCTCACTTCTTCTGTTCTTTCCAGTGTTTGACGATGTCCCCGTGGCTCCTCCTCACTCTGACTGCCCTGGCTGAATGCAGTTCTCTAAAACACAGCACCACCTCCTGTCCACATCTGTGCTCCTGCTCTGGTCAGCAGTCTCATGTGGAGTGCAGCCAGAGCTCCCTCACTGTCTTCCCTTCACAGGGTTTGTCTCCTCACACCACTCGATTGTCCATCCAGTCTACGGGTCTCAGCAACGTCACAGCCCAACATCTGAAGACGCTTCCTCTTCTGAACCACCTACAGCTGTACCACAACAACCTGACATACCTTCCTGCAGATCTTCTTAACGGTGTTCCTTCTCTGGTCACATTGGACCTCACCGGAAACAAGTTGGTTGAGCTTCCTCCAAAAGTCTTCAGTCATGATTTTCTCCAGAATCTGGTGCTGAAGAACAACCAGATTGAAAAGATTGATGTTGAGGTGTTTTCCAACAACAGCAGCCTGATTTGGTTAGATCTTTCAGGGAACCGTCTAACCTCCGTTCCCTCCGCTCTTCATCTGAAGGTTCCTCGGCTGCAGAACCTGGACTTGAGTCACAACAACCTGCAGGTGCTGGAACCTGATGTTCTGATAAACCTATGTTGGCTGGAGACGCTGAATCTTGCTGGGAACAAACTGACAACCCTAAAACCCAGAACTTTTACCTACAACCTCAAACTGACCAAACTCTTTCTGCAGGAGAACCATCTCCAGGATTTACCCAAGATCCTCTTGCAAGGTCTTCAACGTCTGGAACTGGTGATGCTGAATCACAATCACCTTCAGCATCTTCCTCCAGGCTTCCTGGGTGAAAGGGAATCCTCCTCCTTTCAAGTAGTCCTGACAGGAAACCCCTGGATGTGTGATGACAAGATTGAGTATCTCAAGACGTGGCTCCAGGCCCATCCAGGGAGTGCCATCTTTGTAGAGGAGGTGACCTGTTCAGGGCCTGAAGGTCTTAAACATCGACAAGTGGTTTCTTTATAGAACTTCGTCTTTGGTCCAACAGAAAAGACCCAAAAAAAAGGATAAACCAAAACATTCAGACGGTTCAATTTGTCCAAATAAAACGTCATGATTCCTTTTCCTTTCTCTTGCTCTGTTTTCTTCTGTTCTCTTCCAGAGCAGCCACTGTTTGGACCTCGTTCACTAAATGGCAGAAGATACTGACACAAAACAGTAACTTCAAGACAGTGCAGTTCCTTTTAAGTAGTTCCAGAAATGTGTCAATCAGCCAAGCTCTGCCTCAAGAGGGGGCACTTTCTTTCACTTTTCTGGAACTGCAGCACTTTAATTAAGTGAAGTACAAGCACGCGGTGTTCTGGGATGTTAGTTTAAGTTGACAATTATGGCATTTTTAGTTTAGTTTAATAAAAAGCCAAAGCCAGGCCAACATATATTTCAAAAAGACAAAACTATATTCCAAACATTGTAGCAGTGGAAGAATAAGACAGATACTGTAAAACATAACTCTGGAGGAAGAAGCTGAGAACAGAACGTTGTTTTCCTCCTCAGACTGTTGCGTCGTCGTCGTTGTTGTCGTCGTTGTTGTTTTTAGTTGATGTTGAGTGTGTGGGAGTGTGTGGGCAGATGACTGTTAGACTTTGGTAGCTGACCTCTGCTGGAAGAACTCGAACATCTCCATCACACTCTCTTCCTTTGTCATTTTTTTTTTCCATGCATCGGCCATTGTACAGTGAATGTGTTATACAATATACATTTACAGTCTTTTTTATATATATAAACACATGTATACACATATATACACATACACTGTATATACATATGTGTATATTTACTTAAAAAAATATATATGTACATATACAGATATACTAGATCTCAACTATTCCCATTGATAATTGAAAAAAAAGACTCTTCTAAAAGGAGTGATAAAGTAAATGAATGCATTGTAAATGTTGCATTGTGCTGTACATGTACATGAATACAGTGTACACAGGTATGTGTACTACAGAAATATATCAAGAGACCCTCATGTTCCCGTGGCAGAGCCTTGATCACAGTGAGTACAGCAGCCTTTAATTTATTATGGCTTATAAAATATAAAGCGTTTCCTTCTCTGGAGGCTCTTACTTATAAAAATTAAATCTCGTCCCCAAATTTTCCCCTAAAGAAAGGCCGAAGAACCCCCTGCTGAGTCTTCATCTGCACGGTCAGTCCTTCACGCCACATTTCCTGGTGGCTAAATGTTGAAGAAGGGGCTTCTGCGGCTGACCCCGCGAAAGTGAAGGAGCGGCTTCTCCTCCACCTTCTGCCTTCACCATCAGCTGTGGCTCTTTTATCTCCATCTGCTTCTGTGAGCATCCCTGGGCTCTGATCTCCGTGTGCAGAGGGTTTCATTAGCGGGAGATTTCTTTTTCTGATCAGCGTGGAGGAACGGAGCTCTCGCAGTCACCGTCATCAAAAAGGTGTTTGAAAATGACCGTGTCCTTCCAGGCTTGGCAGCAAACTAATGGAGACATTATTGAGTGTGATGGATTCTCATTATGACACACCAGTGCAATAACAACCTGACATTTATTGTCATAAACTCCCACAGAGGGAGAGCCTCTGAATTTATTCCCCACTAATGAACTCATACACTTTATTTTTTGCTTTGTCTTCACATCGGCTCGGAAATCAATAGAGGATTTTGATGAAACCTAATGACTTCATCAATAAACTATTAAAAAGAGAAATTAAATGTGCTGTTTGAGGCATTTTACAGACCCAGCACACAAGAAAGATGAAATCATTATTGTAAAATACCCGTAGAGGTGCATCCATCGTGATTGGTGGATCATGACCGTGGGAACCATCAGGAATATCTCACTGAATTGGGGATTTGTCATCCACCCAGAAGAGCTGGCTCCACATCCTACACAGCCCACGCTGGTTGTTCATCATTCCCAGCCACCGAGTGCTGATCCAGGCAGGAATACAAGGAAAAGGAAAAGGTTAGATAAAAAAAAAAAACACATTAGTTTAAATGCCAAATCAAACAAGTGGATAATTGTGGTCGGAAGCAACAAAATGACTTGAATCTTCCGATTACTGACGTTCTCACTGTCGTATGAGTTTTTAAATGTCTCACATCTTAAAATCTTTCTGTATTTTTATTCGAGCCCAATGTTCTTGTTTAACAGCTGCTAAGGTGGAGCTTTTTTTTTTTAGGTCAACCTCTGGGTTGTGGACTGTTTGTGGGACCCATAGACCTGTGCATCCATTGCGGAGGGCTTGTCCTAGCCATTGGGAAGGAGACTTCTCTTGTCCATCTGCCGAGGACAACGGCTCCACCACAGTTCTGATGCTGAACTGTTGATGCTGGATTCTACAAAGCTGCGTCAAGGTGATTAACATCAAGATGATTAACATCCATCAACCCTGTGATGCACAACTGTAAGTTATACATGTGTATATTTTTTCTTGAAAGTTTGATATGTGTTTATACGTATATGTTGTTAAAGGACACCAGAGTCATGGAAGGATTTCAAATGTGTACTTAGCACCCCCTACAGGTCAGGTAGAGGTAGCTGTGCACTAACACATAATTGAAGCAAACTGCGTCATCCGCCTTTACAGTTTTGTAGGGCCCCACATTATAAATGGACATTTCACATTTTTATTCCGAAGCTACAACGAACAAACACCGTGAACTGAGGCAGAATTAATCACAAAACACCCAAAAGACACCAAGACAGATTTCCCTCTAACAATCCACACATCCATCAACAGCCATATTGTGTGTTTTTTTTTCTTCTCTCTGTTTCTCTGCACTGCAGCAGCTCGAACCCCTTTGTTGCTCCCGCTTTCATATTTCACAGGTCACGCTTTAGCTTCTCATGTTATTTTTAAACACGGGTCGTGACAATAAGGAGGTGAGACTCATTAAATGCCCACCTGAAGGTGGGTGAGAAGAGAAAGAGTCACGTAGCTGTAGCTGCAGGAGGCCATCACCATGTAATGTGCTTAAAAAAAAACAAAAAGAAAAAAAAAAACACCAGACTGTTTGTCAGCCCTCCCACACGTTCTACAATCGTGATTGACAGCCTTTTATTTCATCGCCCCTCAGACCTGTCCTAACCACCATCGTGCATCAGTTGACACACGGTGAGAAAAATCTCCGATGTACAGTTTGTGCGTTTCTTCGTCTCCTGCTGCGGCTCATAAATCATCACTACACCTGACAACATAAACACATGGAGAGCAGTGCTCTGTTACCAGCCTCGGTGCATTATCTCATTATTGGCAAAGGGAAACGCAGGTTGTTTCAGACCCTGTGTGACTTGTTGTAAAAGGCTTGACGTTGCACTGCAGGGAAATGTATTATTATAGATGGTCATTGGCCGATGCTGCGTTCAATTCCCGGCCGTTCTATTAAGTGAACAATTGTATTGATTTAAAGCATTTCAATAGTTGAAAAGCAGATAAATGAGGAGGACGCAGGTTTCTCACCTCAGAACGAAGTGGTGCGAACGCCGCCAAGGCCCAAAGAGTCACCGATGAAAAATGGGGGGAAATAAGAAGCTGACAACAACCTAGTGGTGAGAACAATTAAAGCAGACAAAAGCAGCAGGGAGGATTAATGTGGCTGCAGACGTTATTGATGAGGCGTTGTTGGTGGAGATGCACTCACGACAACAGACAAGTTTCATTTCATACCAAAATTACACCTCAAATCATTTATCAACTGACATTTCCGATGTTTTATTCCAATTTTAATGATTTGTTACGGATCAGGAACGTCCAGTCCGGAGTTCACGCCTGGGGAAATATATTTACATATTTATATATTATTGATGAATGGTTCCATTTACATCCATTTTAATGATAGCTCCAGTACCGTGGTGGGAACAGTTGGAGTTTTATTATAAATATTCTTAGACAAGAAATGTAATGAAGCAGACAGTATCAGAGAAAATGTGTTTTCTTTTAGTTCATTTTCTATGATTCATCAGTTCCAATAAAAACTCACTGTACAGTAATTAATTAAATATTGTGAAAATTTCACTATATCGTAATTTTCCATCTCAGTGAAATTCAAACCTGCCTGCGTCTTTTTCACTGAAGACACAGAGAGAGATTTTTTTTGTGACACGTGCATTTGAACACCTCAAAGAACGGATCCTCGTGACTGAACACATCTCAACTCTGAGTTCTTTCACGCCGGTCCAGTGTTAGCATGAGGGCTCACCGTGGGTGTAAAGAAGCCTTAGAATGCAGCCCATATGTAGGTTTGGGTCCCACACTAAGGGCAGCATATATTACACCAAACTATAGTGTCATTTAAATCTCAATCTCACTCCATAATATATTTCTGATAAGACCTTTAATAACTCAACTTTGGAGATGACCAGTTGCCCTTTAGATGGAAGGGAAGTCCTTCATCACAGACATGAGTCAGGGTTTATAGTAGAAGGACAAAATAATAATAATGATAATAACCTTTAGCGATCGCTGCATGGATGGATGGATGGATTAATGGATGGATGGATGGATGGATGGATGGATGGATGGCTGGATGATTCCTTTGTTCACATAGCTCACAGCTTGCTTTCACCTTCAGTCGATACTCAAACACCAGATTCCGGCACCTTTTATCTTTGAAGTCCTTCGGCCTGGATCCATATCTGTATGTTTTTAATTAGCCTGCCTGGAGGAAACTCAGCCGTCCAGATCTCCCACTGACCAGCACGCAGCTTTCTCAGAACATCACAGACGGATCATCCGCGCCTCCCACTTCCTCTGCTTTTCCCTCACACTGCGCACACACACCCGGGCTTTAATGAGCGCGTAAATATTCCACCACTGCAGCGAGTCACGGTGGATCCCTGCAAAAATCTCTCTACCCTGGACCCCCCGCTGTCGACACTGTTCCCTCTGTGTGTCCAACTCTGTCATTTTTCTGTGTACAGAGATTGCAGATTGATCTCCACTTTTCCGTCCATCCACTCCCACTCACAGTGACCACACAGGGGACAGACCAGGCCAGGGGAGTTTAATTACCTCTGAGCACAAAAAGCAAGGACGCGGCATTTCATCACGGCTTGACATCTACATCGCCTCTGTGACTCCTCGCACCGTGGGCCATAAGTTTTAGTGTCGGCTCCATGATATCCTTTCAGACTGCGCTCGTATGGATTGTCCTGGGGCTCCATCTGTCTTGAGGGGCTTTATGTAGAGCTCATAACAGACCTTTCACCTGTTGTTGAGCTGATTGGTCCTCGACTGAGCAGAGGTGTCTGCAGCCAACAGCTAAAGTGTTCACAGCATGTAGGGACAAGGCCAAGGCCACAGCTTATGTTCCCCGGCGTGGAGGGAGTCGGGACAACTGTTTGTGTGGGTGGACTGAAGGGAAATAGCTGCGAAAGAAAAACAAATGCGATGAGCTGAGGCATTCGTCTAATCACACGTGGACAAGGAATTGAATTATTCAGAAATGTCTGTGGCTCGCTCCACAAACCGACGAGCTCAGACTGGAGCCCACACAGGAGAAGAGCGATTTTAAAAGGCTTTACTTAGGAAAATAAATCTACTCTACTGAAGTCTTAACATTTCTTTAGAGAGTTTATACTTTGTTTATTCTCACAACCTGCTTCTGTGCATCATTTGAGAACTGGAATAGAGTTCCCTTTGAATGTTCTTCCAGTTTTAGGAAAAGAAATGGATGACATAGAGATAGTGATCAAATTCAATTTGCTGTGATTTCAAAAACGGTAAAAAACCCAGTGAAATGAGTTTGTTTTGGCCCATTTCCAGGTGACATGTTGACTGTTAGCTAGTTAGCAGCACGGCATAAATCAAACAACACTGTATGTGTTTCTCACATATTCTCCATTTGGACCAGTGTTGTTTTTACTGTGACGGTGTTACGTAAGGACACATGATGATGCAGCAGTCGAGGAGAGATTCAGTGTTTGACCATATGTTAAGGTGGTCCGATGCAATTAGATCAATTTACCTTCTACTGCAAATTAGGTTTGAGGTCAATCGAAACCTGCAGTTTATTTAACGGTTCTCATAATAGACATTCCAAAACACCTTTTTAGAAGCAGGAACATGCACAAACATATATGATGCTGTATCCAAAATAGTCAGAAAAGAATAACAACAATAAAAAAAAAACACACTTTTGAGTAAAACAAAACTAGGTCCATCAACTGCTAAACACCAGATATAATTATATTTTTTATATATATATAATTTGGATTAATAGAAATTTCATTTTGTTTTGTTTCTTTTAATCCAGATGGTCAGCGGTTCAAATCTCGTCCCAAGAAGTTGCATTTATCACCGACATGTCTTCACGGTCAGACCCAGGTATGTGGACTCCCTGAGTGCATTCTCATCTCTCTCTTAAGTGAATACAGTACAATGTGATCGGAGACGCATTTTCCTTCCACTTAAAGGAGTCAAAGAATAGACTGTGATGGAGGCAGATGGTCTGCTGTTAGAATAAGGAAAAATATCTGCAGCATTTGTTAACATTTATACTGGGGTTTTTTCTCTCTCTCTTTTTTTGAAATTTTTAAAGTGAAAGCCCAAATGAAGAGCTCATGACTCAAACGTGAGTCACACTCTCATGGGAGCAGTGAGCTTTTATGGCACCTGTCACCGTGTTTGAATGAAACCTCACTCAGGGTGGTCACATTAAGAGCAGGGGCTCGGAGGCGGCAGTGATGTATGTATCAAACCTGAGTTATTATACGACTGTATATCTCCCACGGTGGAGGCAACCGTCACCTGGTGGTGGACCGCTATAAACACAGCTGTCTGGGAGTTAATTGTAATTATTGTTGCTGAGGGACAGAGACGTTCTGCTCCATAAAATATCATTGTCTCTGCGTGACATCATCGCTCATGGCAAGTGCACCAGCCCGTGGGTCAAATGGACGGCAACATCTTCTTGTCCCACGAGGCCAATTTCCTTAATTAGACGCCCATACATTTATCAGCAGCAGTGACACAGGGCCAGTGGAACATGGGTGATGCAGCTTCAGAAGCAGGGACTGAGCTCAGTGTCTGTGCAGAGAAAGAACAACCTGTGTCAGGTTTTTATTTTGCCATGGCAGGCCTCCACCATGGAGCCTTTTTTTCTTCTGCGTTCCTGTTTATAACCCTCTAATTAAATCCATTTGCTAGAAAAGCCAGGCATTGATTTTTAAATAAACCGAGGCTCCTGTAACAAGCCTGGGCTTTTTTAATGACTTATTTGAAGCCAGCAGTGGCCACGGCTCTTAGCGCCCGCGCTCGTCTGCAGAATGGGATTGTTAGAAAGGTGGCGTGTGTTATTTCAGGAGGCTGCCAGGGCCCGATCAAAGCAGTGCGGGACCCTGGCAGCTCAGTTAATTACAATTCAAAGCGATGCGTTTCCATGCATCACATTACAGGAGGCGTCTGACTTTTCATTTGCATATTTGTTCTCGCTGAATTAGTGCTCTCACCGCAGACTGTGTCAGACTGGACGACTTACACACAGACATGGTTATTCTTCAGTCCTCACTTATGTGTGTCTGGATTAGAGGGTGTCCAAACCCTTTTCAGTCTGGGCCACAAGTGAAGCGTGGGACAAATGTCGACAGTGAAACATCTTCCCTAAATGAATCATTTTTTACGGTGTTGGTAAACGTGGTCTGTGTAGATTCCTCCTCATATCCTACAGGGGGTGCTATAATACAGTTTAAAAGCTATCTGATCTATAAGTTGAGTTAAAAGTCTGGTAAATGTCAGATTCTACCCATACTGCAGTAAAGACAAAAAAATCAAAGTCAGTCTTTTTTTAAACAGCTTAATTATTAATCAAGGTTTTGAGGTGTTCTAAAGTGATCTAGATCTGCAACAAAACTCTGTTTTCACTTTAGTCTGATCAATAAATCAATGACATATTTGATAACTTTAAAGAGCGATATTTATTTCACCTTAAAGGGCCAATTTTATCCCTTTCATGGGCCAAAGATGGCTTGTGAACCCTACTTTGGAAAAGTTTAGAAAAAATAAACTTGTATTTCTTCACCCTCATCTCATATCCACTTGTTCAATATTAATATCACTGTTCAATGTCACTCTGACCTTTCATACTTCACTAGAAATGAATATTAGAGAAGTTTACAGCGAGCAGAAGCTGAGTCCTCGGGGACAAGGGCGTTAATAAATCTTTTTGTCTACAAACGCTGTGACGTCACTTCAACATCAGATTAATATTTCATTTTCTGCTTGAAGGTGAACATTGTATATTTTCAAATGAATCATTTATCTGTGTTTGCATTTTGGTCAGCCACCTTGGTGAAATGCTGCTTCCACTTTCACCGAAACAGACACCAAGGTGTTATTGATCTTCCAACCTGTCACATTTCACACAGACAAACATGAACAGCTCAGACCAAACCAATCGATCTGGCTGATTTTATCATTTACCCACGCTGCGAAAACTGTTTAGTTTTCCATCGTCTTCTGCTGAATCTCACTTTCATGCAGCACCTGTTCACAAAGGAGTGACGTGATTGGACTGCTGTGATGACTATTTTGCTATTTCCCTTTGTTGCATCTCATTAGGTCTCATTGACCGGAGGACGCCGTCTTTGTTTCCGGCTGCTCTCCTGGGAATTTCCGCAGGATTAAATCAGTCGTTCCAGACATGAGACCCCGTCAACAGAGCAGGTAAATCCCTCCGCTGGGAGCAGTTATGAACCACTGTACCTGTACTGTATTGTGTGTGTGTGTCAGTGTGTGTTTTGATTAACGGCCACAGTTAACAATCGTCACAAATTCATGGATGTGTTTGTTCTCTCTAATGGGCTGTGGTTCAGTGGACAGTGGTGCAGACGACCGGGGTCAGATTAGGGTTTGGTTTAATTGGTGTATAAATAGAACTGGAGGTCACAGCTAGAACAAAGCTATGAAGATGTGTAACATCAACTCCCAAATTAAAGCATGAATACTGAGAAACTACGAAAGTTATGGAAAGTGAAATGAAAATCTAAAAAATCTAAAGAAAAATATGTTTCTGGAAATTGATCCAGAATGGCCTGTGACCTAACGAAGGACTATTAAAAATGTAGTGACCCCTTTTTTGGCCCCCAGACCAGAATTTGGATTCAGAGCTGAGTGACTGTGGCTCGATAGAAAGCAATGGATTCAAACTGGAATATGTTAAATAATCAAGACTGATTTGAACTAGGATTCACTGGTTTATTAATATAACAAACGTTCTTCTTTTCCTTTAACCACAGATCTGTGCAGACCACCTCTCCCTCCTTTTCTCTCTCTCTCTCTCCCCCCTTCTCTCTCTCTCTCTCTCTCTCTCTAAGGAGCCAGGTACTGGTCTCACTCTGGGACCATCTGAGGGTTCTCTGAGGTCAGCTGTGTCATTAAGTTTATTCAGTGAAAGCCTCCTCGGTCTTTTCACTGAGTTAAAGCCACATCAACTCCTTGAAGCTCACCATTAAACTGCGATGGCCCAGAACCTCCAGGTCTCCACATAAAAACCTCAAAGAACTAAGAACCTGTAAGAGTGATGGGCATCATCATCGGCCCCGGTGCTCAACTCCGAGGTTAGTGATTCTACTCCGAGGGTGAAGACACACTCTCACACTCACTGCACATCTTTTCAGTTGAATGGGTTTCAGGAAAAACAGGAAGATTGGTGGGTTTTTACACAGGCAGGAGAGTAAACACACGGCAGCACTGAGAGTGAGGGGAAGGCTCTGCTCTGTCGGCTGACACCACGGCTTTAAACTAATGACGACGTTTAGAAACCGCCGCTGTAATCTGTTAGGAACACACACACACACAGACACACACAGACAGGTTTCTGTAATCCGTGACCACTCCAACAGACATTCATTCCCAGTCACTCACCCTCACCTCAGCTATTACAGACATATGCCTCGTATTAATCCCTGCCCTAACTTTAATCTGACCATAATTCTAATCCAAATCTTAATGTAAGACAGTAACAGAAAGTAACACTCAAAGAGGACCTGCAAAATGACCCACCATATATGGTCTTTTCCCAAACTACGTCGCCTGACTCTAATCTGACTCTAATCTGACTCTTATTCTAATCCTAATCTCAGTCTAAATTATGAACTTCAGAAGACCGCTGACGTCTGAGGGGGCTGTAAATATACATATAAATATAAATACCCCCACCGTCCAAAGTTTGTGCTACACCGGGAACACAAACACGTCCACACACTCACACACACACACCTCATGTTCAGCAGTTTCTCGCAGCTGCCTCGGAGCAGAGATGATAGTCTGCAAACTGCCTCAGTTCTCTGCAGGGTGCACACACTAAGAACTGGCAAAATGACTCTCTCTGTTATGGCCTGTCACGAGGATGGCGTCGCCCCCCCCCCCCCCGCGCGGGGGGGGGGGGGGCCCCCCCCGGGGGTCCCCCCCCCCCCCCCCGGGGGGGGGGGGGGGGAGCACCACTGTGGGGCTCAGCTAAATGAACATAAAATCAGGATTTACAAATGTATTCATGACATGGAAATGTCACCCGACTGTAGGTCTGTACTTGGACTGGGTGACAGCTCTTACAGCAAGGAAATCACTGGTTCTGACCCTTGTGGTGACAAACTGTAGTGCAGTGTAGTAGCAACCACAAAGCATATTATGTTTATATTGTATATTATAAATGGTAAAAAAAATAAATTAATTATTTCTGTTCTCATCTGTTATAACAACCCAGCAGGGCTGATGTGATTTGACCAACCAACATTTTACCAGGGAAGGGACGCAGCACAAGCACTGAGTCACTGGGAGGGAAAATTCGACAAAATGCAGAAATAAATTGTCCCCGGTGCTTCAAATGTCTCGGGTTTATCTTTTCATCTGTCGTTATCTGCTTTTTGTGTAAGGTCAAATTTAATGTGCGTAATTATTGTCATGCAATTTCATGCAGCCCTCAGCTCCAGTGATAGATTAAATGCTCCTGGTTGCACCTACACATTTTATTTTTTCTTTGAATCTGACTTGAGGGAGATGTTTTTCTTTCCCTGCAGCTGAAAATATCTCTCGAACACAGAGAGAGCTGCGACTCGAGAGATGTTAGACATCGGCGTTAAACGCTCACACGATCTCATTCAAATGAATGACCATTTCTGCAGGGTGTGAATGCATTCAAATGTCCCAGTGGATCCATTTGGAGGTAGATGTTCGATTTTAGTGGTGTAGCGAGAGAGCAGTTCACTGAATATATACATGAAGTGTTTTCATAACTCCATGTTTTTATTGTTATTCCTTTCTCTGGTTCAAAGGGCCACAGATGAAAAAGATGAAAAAGACAATTTTACATTTTCTGCTAAAATATTTTTTTTTAAATAAGTATTAAAAATGTGTCAAAGGTATATGTGAGGATGCCAAGGTTATTTAATAGAATTAAATTATACTTTATTTTTTTATATATTTCTACATTTCATATATTTATAATTCTCAAACTTCTTCCTGTTGATCCTGCCTTTTGTAGGTTGGACTATACGTCTACTGGGTCCTAAGTGTCACCGGTGGTACGCCGACCATAGTTTGAGAACCACTGCCCCGGGGGAAAAGACTGGCAAAAAAAGGTAGCACACTTGACTGTAGTCTGTAATTCTTAGAAAAAGATAAATAATAAAATTAAAATGTTTTTTTCATAATTATTCATATAATAATTAATCATTTTGATCCTTGTATTTACTGACACGACCCACTGTTTTGTGTCAAATTTCAAGGAGTAATTCAAGGTTCGTTAATTAAGTTACAATGATCAAAACATTTTTGTTAATAATTCACTTCCTCTAAAAAGAAAAAGTGTAAGTTGTTGATGGGCCAGTATTTCTCAGAACTCTAGTCCTGGTCTCGAGTGTGTCCTGAACTTTGTCTTCATCGGTACCCAGACGTGGAATCCCCTATTTTTAGACAGGAGTTGTAAGAAGAAGACGATCCCTGACCTTCAAGGTCAACGAGCCCCACTGTCACCACACTGACGGTGTGGTAGTGCAACAGTGAGTCAGTCTTACGACAAACACCTGTCCATTGGCCGCTCAGGAGAAACATCAGTTCCTGGATTTGCTCTTGTTACCGTAATGGCCCACGTGGGCTGCCAGACCTGGTACAAAATCACAATTAAAAAGATGGTGTGATGGCGCAAGAGCAGGAAGTGTGAGCTGGGTTCAGTCGAAATGTCACGCAGCGTTTATTTACAGTGTCCATTAAACATGATCCGTGAGAGGACGCCGGCGGTGGACGTACCACAGCCTGCCCACTGTTTATCCCCACTGTGGGCTGCAGCTCTGTGTCTGAGCCATAATGTAAACAAACACGCAGTCCTTCAGTGGTCGGCAATTATTTCACATTCCCTGAGAGCAGAGATGGTGGCGTTCAGGAACAACATAAAGCATGTGACGTTCAGAGGACACACAGTCAGTCATGTAAAAACAGCTGCTCTCCCTGTGATATCGAAATCTATTATTAGGTCCCAAATAAGTGCACTGCAATTTCACTATGCTATTCAGAGCATTAAAAATAACTTGTTTAGTGTTCAGAATGTAATCAACAGCAAGTTCTTTTTTTTTATTGTTTCAAATTTGTCTGTGACCTGTTTTTTTTTTTTTAAGCTAATGAACGTCTTGGATCTTTTCCACTGTGTCAGTGATACGGCAGCGGTGATCACCTGGCATTAACCCATTAGCGGTGACATCTCCTGAGGCTGCAGTGTATTTTGGTGGGTGAACGGTGACAAAGAGAAAGTGCTGAGGAAAAAAAAGCTCTAATCCTCTGACGCCCACTGAACGCAGCAGATGACCAACATGTGGGTGTGAAGTGGTGATTAGTCGTCAGATTACAGCAGGTCAGCGTGGAGTAGACTACAGATGGCTGCGGCTGCACGGGTGAAGGACTCTGTGTATGTGTGTGCACGTAACTGCTGTGGTAGGTGGGCGGAGGAGAGAAAGGGAGATGTGTGTGTGTCTGTCTGTGTGTGTCTATATTTGAAGAGTGAAGGTGCAGCCGTGCGTCTTTGCATGTGCACGTGCTGCAGGAACATTGTTCCACGCCACAATGCCGTCCGTGCCTTTGACATTCCCGCTCCACCTGTCAGTGCACACAAAGGCCTCCGTGTCCTGCCCAGATCTTTGACGTGTGTGCGTCTGTGCTGCTGGAGCCCAGAGATAGCAGCGTTGGTCTGTGTGAGTGAAGGACAGGCGTAGGTGGAGAGGAGTCCGAGTCCGAGTCCGAGCCAACCCTCCTTCATCTCCCCTCCGTCAAACTCCGGGGTGTTCACAGATCGATACGTGATCGTCGATAATACAGAATCAATGACTGAACGACGTGACGTCTTCTCGGTGTGTGATTGATCCAGAGGCCGTGTGAGAGTGAGCCGCTCGGTCATATCACTCTTCTTCTCTGTATCTACGTGTGACAGGAGCTGCCATTAAATGGTTATGGCTTTGACCTCCGCTCTTTGTTTCCCCATCAGAACAAACGCTGGGATTATTTTTATCACCGGCCTGAAACAACATCCATGTCTCCATGTTGTCAGACCTCGCCTTAATTTCAAATTAAACTGATTCTTTTAGGTTTTAGTGCCACATATTTATGGTTCATTTCATTAAAACACTTACTGGGGAAAAAACACACACACTCAGAGCAGATAAAGGAGAAACATCTCCCATGAAAACTTTGGTAACAAAAAAGTAAGAAACTTCCATTAGAGCCAGACTGAGAGAGGACGTCCATCTGTCCCTGTGGCTGATGGTTAGTAGGGAGACAAATGGGGGAGATAGCGGTGGAGGAGAGAGAAGGGAGCAGAGAGACCATGTTTCATTACCTTATCACACTGAACCACCGGGGATTTAAAAACCCAGAGGAGTGAGGAGAAGAAACTGTTCCGACACTGAAGTTCTCTCTGCTGCAGCTTTAGCTTCGGTTTCATTTGAACGTATTATTATTTATTCAAACTTATTTCCGTTCATTTGACTCACTCATTCTTCTTGTGGCTAACTTTAAACAGCTATTCTATTCCGACTAACAGCCATTCCTGGGTAAACACTTTTTTCAGCTGTTGAAGTTTCTCTACGTTCCAAACTAACAGCCATTCCTGGGTAAACACTCAGATATCTTTCTGCCCTTTTCTCAGCTGTTGAAGTTTCTCTACGTTCCAGCCAAACTTTTATTGTATTTTTGCCTTTGGTGATTCTATGCTAAGAGTTAGTGTTTTCTGGCCTTAAGTTTAGTTTTATTTATAACTATTTGAATGACATTTAGGGTATTACAAAAGACGCGATGTGTCGTGGGGTATTTTTACATCCTGAAATTCTGCCCCCCGGGGTGTAACCAGCAGAAGACTGTCTTGTATTTGCAGCCAAACCGTAAAAATAGTGCGACGTTTGTTTCTGTAATTCTATTTCCTGGCACTAACATGTGTGCAGTATCATTATTCAGACAGCTCTCACTGGACAGCAGTGATTATCACCCAGTGATAATTACAGGGGCTGTAACGCGTATGTGGGAAGATCGTGGAGAAGCACCAGAATTTCAGAAGAAAAACTCCAACTGTTGGCCAGACGAAAGACAAACGTGGTGGAAATCCTCTGCTCATGTCCTCATTTTGACCAGCATCACAGGAGGGATACATACCTAAGGTACAGATAATGAATGAATGTCAACCTGCTGTGCATCGCTGTGACACCTGCTGCTGTTCGTGACCTCATCTCCTCCTTGCACTGACTTTACAGTGGAAAAAAAAAACGTTCACTTTCTGATGGCATTAAAATCCATCTGACTAACTCACAGGCACCCAAACACAATCACGGTGACATTAATTGTCCCTGCAGGTTGCAGTGAGATCACACCATCAACATCGGGAAGGCGTGACGTTTGAGTTAAATGTCAGATTTTAATTATAGCGCCCCCGCTGAGCACACTTATACAGTTGGTGCAAAAAAGTTTTCTGTTACAAAGACTAATGGTGCAGGAAGTGACCTTTTACTTCGGCAAATGTGAATCTTTAAATGCAAAAGGCGTTAAGGATAATAATGGAGTAAATAAAAAATAAAGCTGCATTGATTTTTGTGGCCTTTTCCTGTGTGAAACTGCTGAAAATTAGCAGAAGATAGCGAAAGAGTGCACGACTTCCATATGATTTGCTATTATTTAAATATGTAGCTACTGTAACACTAACCCAGGGTCCCACAAAATTGTTTTAAAAAGATAACGGTTAGCCTTCTGGCTGCAAATATAATGAAAGATTATGCAAATTAAATAAAATCCTAGTGAAATAGAACTGTGACAGATGTAGTTTAAAGTTAGCCACAAAAAATGGGAGATAAAAGTTGGCCCCGTTTACACTTTGGCTAAAACCTAAAAGTAGCTGAAATTAGCCAAAAGCGTAGTTAAATGTTGTCACTGAACAGTGAACTCAGACATAGCCATAACCAGTTCTGAAAGTTGGTGAAAATATGGCCAACATGAAACCTGCTAAAGTGCAAAAATTGGCTCCCAAGCCAGATATTGAACGCACCTTTGTTTTTGTTTTTATATATATATATATATATACTTTGATCAGATTTCCATCTCTGTCTGTTTTGACTTCCTACAAACTCATTTCCATGTTTCTTATCTCCACTTGTTTCCAGTGCAGCTGCCAGAGCACATTATGACAACAACTGCTGCTCACATGTAAATCCCACAACGTCACACATTTAAATCTGATATAATAACTCATGCATGCAAATCATCAAGTAAAAAAAAACATACAGGGATCCTGAGAAAATCATCAAGCAGATGTAGACGCAAACAGACCTGGATGTTGTAATAAACCCACGATCTCCAAAGAGTCGAGAGACTTTAGTGACATTTATTTATGACCTTCAAACAACATTGTTTTTGTCATTTCGCTGTCATACCTGCAGGTACCCCCGGAAGAGCTGGAGGAGAAAATCAATTTTTTATAGTATTTTTGAAAGCTTTTACACAGAGCAGATTTTTTTTTTTTTGTAACACAGCATATCTGAACACGCAGGCTGAGAATATCCTACTGTGCATCAAGAAACAGAATCATTGACCACATTTGAAAAATGATGAGATTAAATGATTGACTATTCTCAGAAGATGAACTAAATGTTTAGCTGAAGCTCAAAGCGGTAATGTTTGTTAGCAATGTAGCAGATCAAATCTTAGAAGTATTTGATAATGAGGGGGTGTTTCCTAAGTTTGGAGAAAAAAAAGGAGAGGTAAAGAACCTAAAGAACACCATCCCCATCGTTCTGTAGGGAACTTTCAGTGCCTTTAAATGTAGAACTCTTGTGGGATTCAAAACTAATTTAAAGATCACAGAACCTGTGAGAGTGAGTACAGTGACAAAATCACCAGTTTGATTCTGCTGCTAACAGGTGTTTCCATGTTTAGCCATATGCATGGGGGGGGGGAGTGGGGGGTGACGATGTGATGAACTGGAACTGTGACCCGCCTCAGTTGAAATGTGATTTAAAACACCCCGAAACAACGGACTGTTAGAACTAATATTTCTTTGTATTTCCTTTTGTGTCTCAAAAGAAGAAGAAAAAATATATTTTTGTTTGTGTAAGCAGTGTAACTTAGTGTTTACTTCATAAATGAAGCTGCCATGTTCAGAAATGTTGTTTTTTATATACTCCTTGCTCTGAGGGAAATAATCTCTGTACTCTTCTGTATTTCTCTGATGTAGATAAAAAAAACCACATTCACTGTGACTGTTCTGTACAGAGGAGTAGGAGCCACTGTGCTGCACGTCTACAGTCTACAGCATGGGTGGAGGCTGAGCTCTGGGGTTGGGGTGGTGTTATGTAAGGAGTCTACATACAGTACAGGTGAAGCAGTGAGGCTCTTCTTCAACACGGATCCTCTGACTCCACGGGGACAGTGAATGCACCACAGCACAGTACCTCACGTGTATGTATTATACAGCATGTCCCTTTAAAAGGAACCCAAGTTCCTATCAGGCCTTCAGTGCCCTCTCCATGAGGTTATTTACAATCTGAAGTCACCATCCACCCACTGTGGGCGGATTAAGTTTGCACTGTGTGTGTGTGTGTGTGTTGTTGTTGTCTTTAAAGACTCAGGAGACAAAATAGTCCGCGGCCTCGGCTGGGCTGTCAAAGCTGGTGTCCTTGCTGGGGGTCGGCATGCCTGCACCTCCCCTGGGATCCTTCAGTAGAGGGATGTATGTGTCACTATGACAGGAGCGCATGGCGCTGTCCCACACCCCTGCGCCACAGACGTGTCCGTGGGAGCCGCTGGGCGCAGCCGCCGCCGCCGCCAGATCCCCGGCGCCGGAGCGCAGCGCCATCAGCTCGATCTCATGTTTAGCCGCTGTCTCCAGCACCTGTTGCTTGTTGTAGAACATGACGAAATTGTTGATGATGGGATGGATGGGCAGCGCGATGGCGATCACTCCGCACAGGAAGCTGATGGCTGCGTTACACCGACCCAGAGTGGTCTTGGGGTAGACGTCTCCATAACCCACCGTGGTCATGGTGATCACAGCCCACCAGAAGGACTGTGGGATGCTGGTGAAGAGCGTGTCCGGGTGGTTCTGCTCCATGGTGTAGCCCAGGGCGGAGAAGAGGAAGACTCCCACGCCCATGTACATGAGGAGCAGCCCGAGCTCTTTGAAGCTGCTCTTCAGGGCGGAAGTGAGGGTCTGGAGTCCAGAGGAATGACGTGCCAGCTTGAAAATGCGCGCTATGCGCATTATGCGTAAAGCCTGCACCGCCTGCTGCACATTGGCCAGCTCCATCACTCCTGCGCCGAAGGATGTGAGCGTGAGCACCACGAAGAAGGGCATGATGGCCATGAAGTCGATGATGTTCATGAAGGCCAGCACGAATTTCACTTTGTTTGGGGAGGAGATCAGGCGCAGCAGGTACTCGATGGTGAACCAGCAGATGCACACGGTCTCGATGACCTCCACGGTCGGGTGCTCCGTCAGGTTGCCCTCTGAGTCCTCCACCTGCAGCTCGGGGATGGTGCCGACGCACATGACCACGGAGGAGACGAGGATGAAGAGGAACGACACGATCGCGATGATGTGCGCCGGCAGGGAGGACTCCGGCTTCTCCATCAGCCTCCACAGGCAGATCTGGAAGCGCTGCCAGCCCCCGGCAGCCGGGTCTCCTTCTCTGTCCACCAGGATAGTTTTCACCTTCTCTGCAATCTCTGCAAGTTCGTCCTCCACCTCCTTCAGGTTGCATTTGCAACATTCGTCCAGAAAATCTCCGGCGATTTTCCAAAACTCCATCTCCTTCATGAAACAAATGGGACAGATGCCTCTCTTCATGTGGATCTCTCCATAATAATACAGCTCAATGATGCACTTGAAAGCCTCAGGGTCTCTGTCAAAATAAAACTCCCCGGTGTCTGGGTCGTAGTCGTCGCACAGAGAGGAGATCTCCTCCGAGGACTTGAGGGAACATTCCACCAGCTCAGCCAGCCGGGTGTCCGGGTACCGGGTCAGCACGTCTCCATACAGCACCTGTTTGACTCCACCGATGTTCACAACGATCTCGGTCTCCTCGCTGGCTTCAGAGCCGTTACAGTCCGCATACCGAGTCCTCGGAACCCCCCACATTGTGTTGACAACAGGTTTGCTAAAATAGAAAAAATCTGATTTTTTTTTTTTTTTTTTTCACAAAACTCTACACTAACACAGAAAAACGCGCGGCACCGCCGCTGTGCGTAAAAGCAGCGGAATCGTCCGAAGTGGTTGTTTTAATCATCAAATGTGTGAGTGTCCTGGAGGGACTGCGGCTCCAAGTCTCCTCACTTCAACAATGCCGTGTTTGGCAGTGAACACTGTGCGCCTGTGCGCTCCAGGAAAAGTTGGCATTGAAGTACGCGTCATGTCAAGAGAGACTTAACCAAAACGAACATTTCCTGCGGTAACTTTCAAAATAAAATCCCCCAGTTCTCTGATTCCGGTCGACTATAGTTTTTGCTCTAATGCTGTTTGTTTTGTTTATACCTTATCCCAGTGATTCCTAGACAATTTCTGCGGGGTTTTTTGTAGAATGTGTTTTGTGTACGCCATTGATCTTTATTATGTAAAAAAAAAAATGTTATTCTTACAAAACTGCTATTGTTGTTTAATCAAGGAAATAAAGCCAGTGTTAACAGTCCAGTGTTGGCATTAAGGAAAAGAAATCAAACATTTAAATTATTTGCTATTTACTTCCATATATTATTAATAGTCGCTGTTTATCCTTTCTATAACCCTTTATTTATATATTTTTTTAATCCTTTGAATGAGAATACTAGAATTGCCTGTGATTTATGACTCCACGAGCCTGATCACTCAGAGCTGAGATGCGGGGCTTTTATTCTTTAAAGCAAACTGCATTACTTCCTGTCGTGCTATAAGTCAGTGTGTTTATATATACAGTATTTGTGTTGATGCGACGCAGTGCAGCCAACAGATCATAAATATCTGAGCTGCTTGATGAGGACGGAAAATATCAAACTGGAGTCACTTCTCTGTGTTCAACCGTTCCGGAAACAGTAACTAGATAAAGTCAACAAAAATCAACAAAAATCAACTAAGAACTAAGAAACTGTGAACTTCAATCGACTACTTTCTGTAATATAATATAATATAATATAATATAATATAATATAATATAATATAATATAATATAATATAATATAATATAATATAATATAATATAATATAATATAATATAATATAATATAATATAATATAATATAATATAATATAATATAATATAATATAATATAATATAATAGTAGTTTTACTTCTCCTGGCTCTCTGTCTCCATCTACTGACACTTTTGCAGTACAACAGTACGAAGGCCTCGTGTTCTGATTCTGAACTTTGGTGCAAAGACAGGGAAAACTCCATCAATTATTTACATTCAAATATCACTGTAGTCCAGAGAACCCCAGTGTTGTGGACTTGTATTATAGTGAAAGTAAAATGTCAAGAAAAAATCTGCAATGCAGTAGAAACAAATCAGAGTTCATTTTGTTGGTTGCAGGTTCTCTTTCGGCCCAGTGATTATTGTTAAATATTGTTCACAGTGTCAGCAATAAAAAAGTGTAACTACTGTATATGTGTCAACTGGAGGGTTCTGAAAAAAGTTAACATAACACACTGCCCCCAAGGGACAAAATGCTAAGCCTTGATTACGTGGACAAATAATAATAATAATAACAACAATAATAATAATAACAATAATAATAATTAGAAGAAGAAGAGGAATTTGGTGATGTTTTAGTAAAACAGTTATTTAGTAAAAGTAGTACTCAGAGTAAATAAGATGACTGTCCTGTCCTGTCACTTGTATTACACTTCCTCCTTGTGTTATTACTGCATGTATCCTGGTTTCTCCTCGTCAGTTTACCGGCGCTGTAAAACTACACGGCGTGCTCCAATTGGCTGAAACGCGACGTCATCAGACCCCGGCAAATAATGTGAGATTTGTCGCTGTACTTTTTGTGCAGCAGCGGCTACAGTTGAAGTCAGTGTGTGAGAGAGAGTGTGTGTGTTCTGTCCTTAACTGAGGCGGTGAAGAGCTGCTGCAATCATGAGGTCGCTTTTACTCGGTGAGTAACTTGAAGAACAGTTTTTAAATTCGACCTTGGAGAGTAAAGCGAGTTTATGAAAGATAAACGGAGCCTTTTAATGCGTGTTAGCATCTGTAGTCAGCCTGAATATGTTCAGTTAAGTTGAACAGGCCTGTTGTCGCCGAATCACTAGTAAAAGCAAATGTCTACTCAACCTGTTCAGGCATTTACACAAGCTTTGTACATTTAAGGACCGTTATTAACAGTACTAAAATTATTTAGTTATTGTAAGGGATTTCCCTAGCGTTTTGTGCTAGTTAGCAAACCATTTAGCCTTCCGCCAAGGCTGATATTTAGCATCATTTCTAGCATCAAAACTTTTGTTTCTTTCTCCTCTCCTCCAGGGGTCTTTGTCTGCTCCCTGCTCCTCTCTGTGCAGGCACTTTACTCCCCCAGTGATGATGTTGTTGAGCTCACTTCCTCCAACTTCAACAGGGAGGTTATCCAGAGTGACAGCCTGTGGCTGGTGGAGTTTTATGCTCCCTGGTGAGTCTAAAGAAACACAAGGACCCCAGGGCTACTGTTGTTGTAAGGATGAGACAGATGTTTCAATTTTTATTTTATTTTTTGCACTAAAACATCCAACTTGTCTCACAGAACCAAAGTGATTTAGACAGAAGCAGAGCGTGTTAAAATTAGTAATTCAGTAGCAGAGTATTGATGTAGGCGTCTCAGATTCTCCTTCTTTTTGATGCCTTGTGTTTCAAGGTTGGACGATCAGAGTACATGTCCTGATAGGGACCTAAACCTAATCCCGTTCTTTTCCTAAGGCTGTGACCTGCATCATCAGGACCGTTGTTGCTGACATTCCATACAGTTTAATTTCAGTCCCGCAGATAAACAAGGCTCAGAGCCTCGAGGGGAACAGGTTCAAATGTGAACTTCTTAAACAAATATTTAACTGTTAGTATTCAAATGAAAAACAGAAACCTTGCTGGGATTATTTCCTACTATAATAATTAAAACACTTAAAGTAAAGAAACATCTACAGTAACTCATTAACAGGTTAATTAACCTCACAGTTATTGTTCTTACCTCGGTAGTTAAATGGCTCTCATTTGTTTCCAGGTGTGGTCACTGCAGGAATCTGGCTCCAGACTGGAAGAAAGCAGCCACTGCCCTCAAGGTATGTAGGTCAGCAGTTCATCTCCACGCAGGGAGCAATTAATACTTCATTGTTTTTTAATTGTATAATTATTGGATAATAAGTGTTTTGGTTTTCTTTAATGAATGAGGTCATTAAAAAAACTTCTAGAATAATAGCTTCCTGTCATCTAAGTGACACGGAGAGGTTTTGAAAAAATGTCTTTCAAAGAGGAACTCTACCATGACGACAGATTACAGTGTGGTCAGAATATTTGCAAATCAGTAGTGAGATCAACACCTAACAGAGGTGTGAAGGAGACACACACATGTCCCAGACTGCACTGCAATTGTCATGAATACTTTCCACTCTTTTTGCAGTCACACTGTTTGGACTGAATGTGCTTTTCAGCGCTAGTTCCTGGCATTGAAGAAAACTGCGTTGTGTGTTTGCGTTTTTGTGTGTGTGCAGACGAAGTAGTGCTTTAGAAGTGTCACACGTCTTCATCTACAGGCTGAATCGCACAGTCGTGAACCAGGTCGTAAATCATTGACAAGAATTTCTTTGTTTCTTCCCAGGGCATTGTCAAGGTCGGAGCTGTGGACGCAGACCAGCACAATTCACTGGGTGGACAGTACGGCGTCAGAGGATTTCCCACCATCAAGATCTTTGGGGCCAATAAGAACAAGCCAGAGGAGTACCAAGGTACAGAAGAGTCTTAGGTCAAAAGGTCAGGTCAGGGAGGTGAAACACCTGTGTTTGTCTCCTCAGAGCTGAGATATTCATGTTTAATTTAACAGAGGTAATTAACCAACCTAAATTGGTCTGATTATATTTTGCAGTTTGCACAATGTTCCCATCCATTTGTGGCCACAAATAAGACAAACAGTTGCACTGTTGGCCAATGACGTCCCATTAACAAAATTATATTTGTCCTATTTTAAAACAATGACAAACAAAGACAAATCCAACCATGGTAGGGCACCACCATCATGTTTAAGTCAATGATTTTTTTTTTTTAAGGTGGACGCAGCAGCCAGGGTTTTGTTTTTTTAAGGTGGACGCAGCAGCCAGGCCATTGTGGACGGAGCCATGAATGCTCTGCGTAACCTGGTGAAAGAACGGCTGAGCGGCAAATCTGGTGGCTCTGGTGGTCAGGTAGTGTTTGTTTTTTTTGTTGTTTTTTTTTTGATATTTTAAAAGACCTAACCATTTGGGTGCACGTAAGTAAGTTGCACTCTGCTGCCCTCTAGCAGAGCAGTGGCGGCAGCAGCAAGGACGTGGTGGAGCTCACGGATGACAACTTTGACAAGATGGTGATGGAGAGCGACGACATCTGGCTGGTGGAGTTTTTCGCCCCCTGGTGTGGACACTGCAAGAAGTGAGTTCACTGATAAGAAAAATCCTGTGTCAGAGGTATCTGTGTGCTGTGGAATTGTTGGAGTTCTCATCATCTTCCTTGTCTTCTCTCGTCCTCAGGCTGGAGCCAGAGTGGGCGGCTGCAGCCACAGCAGTGAAGGAGCAGACCAAGGGCAGAGTTCGCCTGGGAGCTGTGGATGCAACCGTCCACCAGGCCGTGTCCAGCCGCTACGGGGGGAGGACACATCAGTGTGTATTGGAGTAGTACTAATTCACATGATATAAATACAAGCTGCTCTGCTTGTTAAATAGTGTGTACAACTACTGCTCAAGTTGTTCACTTAAATAAGCGTTGCTCTGTGTGCAGATCCGTGGTTATCCCAGCATCAAGGTTTTCCGTAAAGGGGAGGAGCCAGAGGACTACCAGGGAGGCCGTACCCGCAACGATATCATCGAGAGGGCGTTGGATCTGTTCTCTGATAACGCCCCTGCTCCTGAAGTACTGGAGGTCAGTACAAGTTAAATACAAACAGTACTGTCTCTAAGGGAGATGGTCCATGTCTCGTTGTACTGTTATAATATTTTAAGCATGTCTAGAGACAAAAAGGCGTGGTCTCACTGTCAGTTTTTTGCTCTGTCAAACTCTGCTAAGTTTGTCCTGTAAATGGTACAAGTTAATATACAAACAGTACAAACTCTGCTAAGTTTGTCCTGTAAATGTTATGAATCACATTAAAGGGATATTTTATTTTTACCCTCAGATCCTCAACGAAGACGTCTTAAAGAAGACCTGCGAGGACAGTCAGTTGTGTGTCATTGCTGTCCTGCCTCATATCCTGGACACAGGTGAGAGCAGACACAACCGTGGTGTTTTAGTTCGAGGAAAGTTCCGGAAAGATTTATCTATTCTGACAGATATCATCTACATAGGAGCTGAAGGTAGAAATGGTTATCTGGAGGTGATGGCAAAGTTGGCTGACAAGTACAAGAAGAAGATGTGGGGGTAAGGATGAGCCATAATTATCATCATCGTTATTATTATTATTGACTGAGGATGTGTCTTATGACCTGCGTTGTCATTGACAGGTGGCTCTGGACCGAGGCCGGAGCCCAGATGGAGCTGGAGTCCGCCATGGGCATCGGTGGTTTTGGTTACCCAGCCATGGCTGCCATCAACTCCCGCAAGATGAAGTTTGCCCTGCTGAGAGGTTCCTTCAGTGAAACAGGCATCCATGAGTTCCTGAGGTACTGACAGATACTGACAGATACTGACAGATACTGTGTAGTTGAAAACACACTCAGACTCCGTGTGTTGTTTTTCAACTGTGTGATGATCGTCCTGTCTCTGTGTCTTCAGGGAGCTCTCTGTTGGACGTGGATCCACTGCCACACTGGGGGGCGGGGCCATGCCGAAGATCTACGCTGTTGAGCCCTGGGACGGCAAAGACGGGCAGGTCAGTGGTCTTTCTAGTAGAACAGAATAAACCAGCCTAAATGTGCAAAGTGTGAGGTTTAAAGCCAAACCTTGAAAGTGCTTGAATCTGACCTGGATGATTGACTAACGACCTTCACTGTGTGTCCTGATCTTTTCTAATGTGGGTTCTTTCTTTCTGTTTATCTCCAGCTTCCTGAGGAAGAGGATTATGACCTCAGTGACGTAGACCTGGACGACGACTACGACAAGGACGAGTTATGAGTCCCAGCAGACTGGCCTGGCTGGAGTTGGTTTGGTCTGGTCCAGTCTGGTTTAGTTCTGCGTGACCCGCCTCCCTTCTCCTGTGGACGAATGGGAAGCACGGTCGCCCAGTTACTGAAATACTCCAGAAAAGACACATGAGAGACACCTGCAGTTTCTCACATCTGTATGGGTCACATGGGGACAGGAAGGACAAGGGAGGGGTCGGGGGTTTGATTCCCTGGAGTGAACTGTGAGTCACGTACCTGCTGAAGAGAACAGAAGAGTCTGCATATTTACACAGCCACCACCAGCTGACAGGAGGACGGACGAACCCTGTGTCACCGACTGTTTTCCAGTCTTACCAAATTTAAAACTTCTTCAGCCATTTCAGATCACTATTTTTAGGATTTTTTGTTTCTAGTCTTGTCTCTAAATAATTCTGTCTCTGAGGATCATGTCTCTCCAGGATAAGGGCGGGGATACTATGGGACTTCTTGTGTATATTTTTCTTACACGACTTTTATTTCAATTGTGTGAAAACAAAATTGACATTTGTTACAAAAATAAAAAGGAATAAAAACAAAAGCCACGACTTCCTCATTCACGTAAGCTGTTACAGTTAAATAATAAAATGTGTTTCACTGAGGGCATGCAATACCAAGGGCGGTACAGTAGACAAAGAGCTGGTTCAGAATGAATGTGTTGACGTCCTGCAATGACAACAAGACACTTTACACAGGATTTGAGGTAGAGTACGCAGGAATTTCCTCACCCCCCCTCATTAATGTTGGGCTACTAGAGGTGAATGTTGGGGCTCCGCCCCCTTTCTGTGTTTTTACTTTTCCTTTCTGTTATAAGTGGTCATTTGGTGGGAATGTTTCATAAAGGAAAATAGACAAAGTAGGTGGCACTAATGTATCGACCTAAAATGAGCTTAATGGCGGGACGAAATCTTCAGACTACAGCTAAGGATTATTTGGCAAATGCAAAGGAGGCTAAAGGAGCCAGTATAGCCCACAGTCAGCCAATAAAATGACTGCTGTTAGCCATTCTGTTAAACACTGTTTGAAATGATGTTTCAAGACAAGCCAGAATTAAAGGTTATATAAGTTAGGCTAGAAGGTCAGAAATTACAAATATCAGGCATAAAATATTAAACACAATTAGCATTCAATATGTTCTTAAAGCGAGACAATAGGTATAGGAATATAATATATGGATAAATGGATAAATGTTAGTAGAGAAATTACTTCAAATGTACTCAAAAAGCTTAGTAGAGAAATGACTTCAAATGTACTCAAAAAGCTTAAAGGGATACAATGAAATGTGCCAAAAACTAAAAGGGATACAATGAAATGTGCCAAAAGTTTAAAGGAATATGGTGAAATGTGCCAAAAACATTATTAAAGCAGCTAAAGTTTAAAAAAAAAAGATAACAATGTCAAAAATAGTTAGCTTAAACCTAACAGTTAAATGCTAAACCAACACAATAGTAACAATATAGCCATAGTTTAATATATATTATGAATAACATAAGTTAGAAAAAAGAGTTTTATTTGCTATAGTATTACTTAAAGCTAGTATTTTTTAACCAAGTGAACCCTTAAGTTAGCACATATAAGGTTAAAACTTAGGCAGTAACATAGCAAAATATTGAGGTGCATGGCAATTGCTAGTCCACCAAAATATTGAAAAAAAAAACGACTGAGGTAAAGAATTAATTAATTTAAAAAAGCACTTTAAAAATCACTAAAGTTGTATCAAATCATAGTCTTTCAAACTGTGTTTAAGGCGCACCCTGGAGGAAAATGAAGGGACCTACATGCTCTAAATTCCTGCATGCTCTACCTTCCCCTCTGCTGCGGCTAAATTGGTGGAGTTAATAGTTTCCTTTTTATGTAACAATAACAGGAGTCATAATACTTGAAAGCATACAGTTCAAAGTCCAGTCTGTATAAATATGTAGGCTATGGCACAGGGACAAGAAGCAGGTTCACCACTGAGAAGCAAATCCACAGAGAAGGAGCCACACTGACCAAAGGTAAAAATGATGATCCATGAGTGTAAACATGACGGCGATGGAGGGTGGAGATGGGGCAGTGGTGTGACATCAACCAGCTGGAATGATGTGTGTGTTTGTTGTGGTGGCTTTCTTCTGAGACGGAGAAGATGCTGGTCCTCAGAACTGACGAGATGTTCCCTGGTCGGACTGCAGCAGTCTAACGATGGACGGATCGCTCTTGGCACCCTTAATGAACTCCTCCAAAGACAGTCTACCTGTAAAGAGGGAAAGAATGAGGCAGAAAAAGTCAGTGGTCAGCATTTGAAGAAGTCACGATGTGCTGAGTCATGAGTCATGAGTCCTCTAATGTCAACGGAGAAGCTTCTGACGATCAGGCTGGGTTTAAGTCACCAAAATAAAACAAAAATCCACTGATAATATGGAAAGAATTTGCCAATAACTACTATTTATATTTTTGATTAAATGTTATCAATTTAAAGTTTGGTGTTTTTTATTTTTTATCTGTATCAATATATATTTGTATTTAATATTATTTTTGTCTTTCACTCCTACTTTCACACAGAAGTACAAATCAGAGGAAGTACAATTAAACTTTCAGTGTAAGAGCATACCTTGTTGTGATACTTCAACACCTTAAGTACTTTACCTAATTATTACACCTTAGTATTGCACTTTTTTCTTATAATGTTTTTTTACCTTTTCATACAACAACACCAACAGCCGTTGTTCAGCGGCCGTGAAGTAAGAAGCGCGACCGTTATCTGTTTTCCCATCGGTGATTCTGTGAGCGATAGCCACGCCTTTTCATCCTGGCTCGACAACCGCGCGATCAATTAATCAGCCAAGATGCGCGGTTCATCGGTTATTCCTGGATATCGTTATCCCACTTTTGTGAAGTATCCCTCTGGTGTTTGTCGGTGTTTGTGCCGCTGCAGACGATCTGTTTTTTGATGGCAGTCAAAGCGCTGGGTGAGGAAAGTTCACTGTGTCCGCCACCCGTTGAGTTCTCCTTGTTGTTAGCACAGCAGCTAAGTTTGGCCACAAAGTATTTATCCCAATCACTGAGGTTTTAGAAGAGCTGTTGTCTGGCCTGCTTTTGTCTTTATATGTAAGGTGTACATTTATTTTCTAATACTTTTTTAGACGTTTATACATATATATGTGTATATACATATGTGTGTGTATATATTATTAAATATATATTTTACCTTACCCTAAAGGTTCAATATCTGATGACGACACATTTTGGAAAGCCCCCGCCCCTTTTATTATTAATTCCAGTCAAAGTCATGCACAGGTCTCACCATCATTATCGATGTCCATCTGTCTGAAGATTTTATCCGTCCTTTTCTCTGGAGTGGACTCATCCTCAGGCATCTTCATGACTGATGACACCATTTTATAAATTGCCTTTAAAGAAAGAAACAGAAACCCCAATAATATGTTTATATCTCTGGAGCTGTTTCCACCTGACTGCCTTGTTCTACCCATCATATAAGTGACCACAGTGCTTTGGCAAATAAACCTCACCTCTCTGTGAATAACTTTTTTTTTTAAACATTCATTTGTATCCACAAACAGAGCGTGCTGAGCCAATATTGATATGGCCCTGCTGGCTGCTCTGCTCACCATATTGGAAGAGTAAATATAGCCACGGTGATAAGAGAAGAGAAAGGCCAGCCTGCCTGAGATGACGGGAGGTGAAAACACAAAGCTTCACACACGTAAGTATTGACTAAGCTAAAATGTTCAAATGTGTTTTTGTATGAAATGACGCTGTGACAACAAATAAGACTCAAAGTTTATAAAACAGACACAAACTGTAGCCAAATCCATAAAAAGGCAAACAAACATATTCATCTGTTCATTGTTTCATTGTTCAACTTTTACTCCTATACTTGAATGGTTCTCAATTATATATATTTTTTTATAAAAAAATATTTGGCTCTTCAAATATACTAAACAATGAGTTATATCCTCTGTGTAGTACTACTAGTATTCCTGGGATCAGATTATTTTTTGTTATAATGATTAGAATATTTATCAGCCAAAGACTTAATTATGGTGGAACAACAGAACTGACACTTAAATTCTGATAACACACGCAGACACACAGACACTTCAGAACTGTACTCCAGCTGTAGTCGCAGACTTACCCCCATGTACCACTTGAGGGAGCTGTGAACCATAGTTTGAGAGCCGCTGCTGTACTCTGTTCCAAATTAAATGACAGCACTAACTGGAATTGCACCCCCCCCCCCACACACACACAGAGTTTGTCCTCACCTGAACTATCTCCAGCATCTCCGCCCGACTTATGTACCCGTTCCCATCCAGGTCGTACATGCTGAAGGCCCAGCGCAGCTTCTGCTCCAGCCCACCACGAGACGTCACGCTCAGGGCGATGATGAACTCCCTGAAGTCGATGGTGGCGTCGCCGTTGGTGTCAAACGTGCGAAAGACGTGCTCTGCAAACTTAGAGGCGTCTCCATAGGGGAAGAAGTTGGCGTAGATCTTCTTGAACTCCTCCACAGTCAGGTGACCGGTGGGACAGTCCTTCAGGAAGCCGCGGTACCACTCCTGCAGCTCATGGTCAGTGAACTCTGTGTTCTCCCTCAGGTCGTTCAGGACCTCGGGTCTCAGCTTGCTGTTCTGTTTTCCCATGTCACGGCTCCGTCTGTGTGTTTCTCAGCGAGCGGTGTTTGTTTGTGGTGTGGCTGGTGTCTCCGACCTTCTCCTTTCTCTTCTCCACGCTCCCTTATGTTTCCTCTCCCCACGCCGTCGGCTGCTTGTCTTCCTCTGCTCCTGCAGGAGACCCACCAGCCTCATTAATAACCTTGTGTGAATATCATAAATGATTCATTGGTCTAATAATTGCTCTGTGTTTGCATCAGTGTTTCATTTTGGCAAAGGCTATTTGTGAAACACTGTGTCATGTTTTATTCACCTTTAATTGTAAGGTGACGAGGTGCATGTGTCTAGTTATAAATAATGCCATATTTATAGCCCGATTCACTCTTTCTGGTAAATCTCCATCTTAAACCGTAATGGTTTTCAGCAGGTGGAGTCTGTGTAATGACGCATAAAGAAACGCAGGACAAGACAAAAGCATTAAATGCCCATAATGCATTTGAACCACCTGGACCTATTCACCTCTGGGTCCTGTGGTTGTGTCTAAAAGCTGTTTCCATGGTTATATTCTGCAAAAATTGTTTATTTATGTTTGAGGGTGTATTGAAGGCTGAGGACATGAGGATGAACATCCAGAATACAAATGGAACATCGTCTGACATCTTTTACAGCAGACCATGTGTCGTCACTACATCAAAATCATGTCAATTTTCAGTGTTTTAGCAGCATTTTGTATTTATGCTCCAATTTCAACACTCCATTTGTTCTTTTGCATACAGATGCTGATGATTCAGTGCCTTTCTCCAGATTAACTCTTTGACTCACTCTTTGTGATGATTAATATGACATGCCATTTCAGTACGAGTTCCTCCCATAAAACCGTTCTGTATTGATCCACTGAGACAAGCACCGTGGAACTTTGTTGAAAAGAAGTAAAGGAAAGGAACATTTCTTGGAAACTTAAGCAAGAAATCGATTCAACCTTTTGTGTAACCTTTTACAACGTGGATCTGCTACAACGTGAGTGGGAGGCAGAGTTCTACGGGGGCAGAGAATGAGAAAGAATGAGGAGGGAGGGGAGGTGGGGAGTGTGACACATAGAAAGGAAAACTATTTCCAGCTCTACTTTGTGAGCCGCTGTGTTAATATCAGTGGTCCAATTACATAATGATCCCTCTGAATAACACCTCCACTCCTGAGCTGCCTATAATGAATTTACTGGAGGAGGTGGAGGAGGGCAGGGGGGAGTCGTTTCATCCCCGTGTTCTCCCCTTCCTTTCAATTATTGAAATCCTGTCGCTTCTGGGTTATTGGCACCAGAGCGATTGTATCTGCTGCACGACAAAAGCACGGGGCTGTGTGTACAAAGGAGATCTGTGTTACACATTGATCCTCTCGTTTTTATAATTGCCACAACGGTGTCATTTCCTGCTGTTCCGTGAATCAAAGTCGGTGAGTAACATGAGAGAAAGGTTTGGCAAAAGATGAAAAAAACAACACACAGTCAGTGACAAAGACTCTACACTGTGTTTCCCTGGTCTAATGAATGTAGAGTGAATATGTGCCCAGCACATACATAATACACACTGTAAATGTATTGCATCATGTAAATGTATTGTATCATGCGTGAATACTTCATTGTGGACGAGACTTCAACACCTTCAAATTTATACTGCAGTAACAATAGATGACATATTCTATGAGAGAGAACACATTTTCTTTTAATAGTGTCATTACTGAGCATGAAGCTTATCTAAAACATTTTCTTTTAATAGTGATATTTTTTTTGTCATTACTGAGCATGAAGCTTATCTACTCCAACCTGTAGGTGGCACTCTCTAAGTTTTACCAGCAGATCTGAATCCCATAGATTTTTTGGCAATCCCTATAAATACCCATTCTTTCCATAAAATTTCTGGAATTTTGCGACCCTAAGGTCACATGATTCATGGTTCAGATATTCTAACATCCACAACAAAAGTGTACTTAACTGTGGGAATGGTTGGGGGGGCATGGTTTATTATCTTGTTTTCTACAAACAAAGACGTCCGCTTTGTGACTAAAGATTTTTAATCCACATGTTGCTTCCTCTTTGCCACAATGCCCTCATTTAGGAAACACTATTACAAATATATTATTTTCTACAAGGGGAGCAATCATTTTGTCCTGAACCATAAATGGTTCCCTGTAACACCAAGAACTAATCATGAATATTCAGCTCACCCAGTAAAATATTTAACCTGCTCAGTGTGAGGGTGAAAGCATCTTCATCAAGAAATGGAAATCACAGAGATTCATTATTACTGCTGGTGTCAGAACAAATTAGCCATTAATTCAAAACATCAGAGACAAAGTAATGGAATAAATTACTGAGGGGAAACATTAACATACAAATGCAGAAAATCTCTCGTTGCACAATTTGGTGGATTTCACCGAGTTGTTACGGTGTTCACTAAAATGATGTAATTATAATCACTGCCCTGATGCCCAGGCCTAAATCACACACTCTCTCCCCGACTTGAACACAGACCTTCCACTCAAACATACAACAGGATGAGGAAGTGGCTGCACCTCCTCAGCTCAGGCTCTGAGTCGGAGGACATAAATATGGGAGTTGCTGTTAATTCCCCAGAAGCCACAAGAAATCCAGACGATTCCAGACTGAACAAGTGAAACGTTACGTTTCAAGAATCTGTCTGACTAAACTGAGTCTATATTTAAAAAAGGATTTTTACACAATATGGGAATTAATCCAAAATGAATGTGGCGCTAGTCTAAAATGATAAAATGATAACATGCTAAAATACACCGGTCATAAAAATGTTAGAGCTCATTAA